GCCCTAAATACTGCAACTCCCGAAGTGCCAAGTCCTTGTTCAGTAGTAGCGCCACTAGGGCCAAACATAGCACGCCGGATTTTGCCGGTGCGACGAAAAGTGCGACACAATTCAAGGGTGCCAGAACCCCTCCCAAAGGAGGGGCATACAGTGCCTTGCATAAGAAACTGAACATCGCATTTCCCGCGCGTTGTTTGTTCGCACCAAATATGCCCTTTTCGGGTAGGTCCGGAAAGCCTCTCGCGGGGCCATTTGCTGGGCAAGGACTCGCAGATGCCCTGAGAGGGCTCAAAAGGCTTCATAGAATGCATGAAATGTATATTCTACAACTAAACTGAGGGCTGTAAATCATTAGACTCTGCCCTGAGCTGTATGCCCAGCTACTCTCCCTCTCGATGGGTCTTTGCCGCACATTTGCTGATACCCGAAAAGGGTATATTTGGTGCGGACAAACAACGCGCGCGGAAATGCGATGTTCAGTTTCTTATGCAAGGCACTGTAACCCCTCTCAAAGGAGGGGCATATTGAGTGGCTGTGCTATGTCGTGGGACGAACCTACCAAACTCAACGAGTTATCGAGTGGCTGTGCCAGAGGCGCCACAACGGCTGTTGTGGCTCTCCCCGAGGAGAACTCAATTTGTGCCTGCCATGACAGGTGCCGGACGAGCTCCCGTACGTGGGTACAATAGGTAAAATACCTGTGTATACTGTATACTTGAGACCATATATATGAAGGTAGATGCGGCTTGATATCCATTACCCCAAATCATACCAACAGACCTTGATGACCATGCAGAGTTTTTATGGAGCAGTGAATGCTGAGTGTTCAGCACTCAGCAGCAGTTAGAAAGTTTACAGCAGTAGATTCACAGAATTGTTTTTAATGAAATGTCCTCTGCACAGTTGGCCTGACTGGGTGTCACCGCATTTACAGATATCCGCAGTAATCCAGACCTTGTGAGGCGGCGTGGAGGGGGAAAGCGTGCAAATTAAAGATTCAATGCTAAACCTCTTTCGTGGAATTGTGGGGGAGTGGTGTTTGCCTCGTGTGTTTGATATAAGAAGTCACTGTCCCGGAGGGCCCCAAATTGAGGAATTACACAGTATTTTGGGCTTGAATTGTCTTCAGAGAATATGCATGGACTAGCTGCAGACTTTCTCATGGTTTCAGTTGCCGTTTTATAGGAGATATATCTCAGAGAACAATGGACGGGTTATGTACTACTATGGCCCCAGAGGGGCTGGACAAATTTGATTTTAGTAGTATTTACACTTGGATTTTACGGTAAAACATGCCATCTGTCACTCACTAGCTGCTTTGTTCCTACAGGGCTCTGAGGGCGATTTGTGGAGCATAGGCCCGAGAGTAATGTAGATTTCGGTCCCAAGGGCCTCGAAGCCACAACTGCCACATGGCTCTCTGAGCTAATCCCAATTTTTCTTTTTTCTTTTTCTTTTTATTTTCTTTTATTGCAACTCTATCGTTATTGCGCCGAAAATACCTTTAGGTCCCAAAAACTAGACCAATTGACTCCTTTTCATGAGAGCTTTCGAACCATCTGATTATTTTCACGAAATTCCCACTTTTAAGAATTTAACCCTTCACATATGTGAATTTGGGTCAGAGATGTGGCGGAGTTACCATAAAGGGAGGCTTTGTAATCACGGCAAGGTCGGCCGAGCCACGTGCTCAGCTAGGGTTAGGGTGAAGACACTACTTGCTTTGGATGTATGGCACACTCCCTATCACAAGAATTCCATTGGAGACTCCCATTTCGCTATTATACAACCATATTGAGTGATTAGGATGCAGCTGGCCC